AAAAAAAAAAAAAAAAAGAACTCGGTTATGTTTGAAATCTTTCGACATTTTACTAAACACCGAATGCGTGTTTTGATCTGTTTTAACAAGTCTTATGAGCTGAAATATTTGGATGATCGATCATAGGTTTGGATTTTCACGAATTGCTCGATATCCCACAAGGGGACCGGAGGAGGTACCATGACGATGTCTCGATTATCATAATTTCGTTCGAGGGAAGGATTTGGCGTTCGTCCGTGTAGCTTATGCATTTAGGACAAGACACACAAAAAATTAGGGAAAAAAAAAAATACACAAATTTGTTTTGAAAAGCCTTGAGTTTGGGTCATTCTTTTGTTGCCTAAGGGTGCTCATATTTGTAGCACTAAAAAAAATATATATATATATATATTCTGCAAATTAATATATAAACATGATTAATGTGGATTATCTCCAGCAGGTGCACTTCAACTGTAAAGTGATAATGCTAAAAAAAATACAACTTGTTTTAATTTTGTTGGCTTAAAGTACTGAAAGTCAGATATTCTGCAAAGTTTGTCCTGATAAACAATTTTACCATTGTCATGATTTGTTTGACCACATAAAAACCCAAGCATGTGAAGTCAAGATGATTCTTATCCTATTTTCCACACAAAATCTTAATCAGATGTGAGAAAAAAAATTTGAAATTATATATATTTATATGATAAAATATAAAAATAAATAAGAAAATAGACAAGAAATGAATTAAATTCAAAGATTCTAGAAAATAGAATTTCAAACTTGAAAACCTGCCTGTTGTTTTCTTGTCCTGGAGGCACACAGAGATTATTATTATTTATTTTTTTTTAATTTTTTAATATTTTATTTTGATAACATATAAAAAATTAATAATACTTGAACTGAGGCGACCGCTACTAACCAAACAGTTTTGGCAAACATTTAAAAAGGTCCAAATTTACTCTCAAAATCTTTCATCAACATTTTTAATTAAGTTGGAATTTTTTCCATTGATACACTAAAACTAAAGTTACTACAATTAATTAAGTTAGAATTTACATTAATTGATGACTATATTGACCCGTGCCCACCATGACAAAAAAGCGAGATTAATTTTAAAGTTACTCAATTAGTGGGAAATAATACAGTCCCATTACGAAACCATTTCGTCAGGATTTGTAACCGTTAGATTGTCATATAACCGTCGTGAATAGTTGATTTAACGGTTACAAATCCCGACAGAATAGTTCGGAGACACTAGAATCTCCCCAATTAAGTTACCCCCAGTTTTAAATCAAAATTAGCCCTCATATTGTTTAATTAGACAATACATTATGCAAAGATAACAGACAAAAATGGCTTTGCATGAGCCTATATCTGATTCCAAGATTTAGTTGGAGGATGATGCACATAGAAACCAGAGTAGGTAATAGGTTTCTAATTTAATGCACTAACATCAAAATTTTTTTAAAAAAGAATAGGATATTAAAATATAGGAATAAAAAATAATACTACCTCCTATTTTTAATATATGTCATTTTGAGAAGTTGCACACTAATTAATAATATTTTTTTGTCAATAATAATCTTATTTAATGAAGATAGAGATGAATGTTTTGAGAAAAAAATGAAGAGTGAATATGAAAAGTCGTAATGCATTTATTGGCTAAATGAGGGTAATAATAAAAAAATATGTACAAAAGATCCAAAACGACATTTATTTGCCAAATAGTTGAAAAAGCTAGAATGACATTTAAAAAAAAAAAATAGGAGTGATTAATATTTAAGAGAGATGCTACGGTGCCGTTACGGAACTATTCTGTTGGAAATTTGTAACCCTTAGATCAACTATTTTCGACAATTACATGATGATTTAACGGTTACATACCCGACGGAATGGTTCCATAACGTAGTAGCATTTTCTAATATTTAATACTAGCTTGATGCATGAACGAGCAAAGTCAAAGGGTACGTGCAACTTTTAAACGTATATAAGAGGACAATTTCTTGTGGTTTTGGTGTCTCTTAACATCTCGTGACACACATAAAGATCAAAGCTCCTAATTTTTATGATAACTTGTTTTTTTTTTTTTTTT